TAACAGACTAATCTCAAATTGTTGTATTAGGAACCCAGAAACGGAAAACCTGTAGGCTGTATAGTCTAATGTGAATCGTGATTACAAAAACCCGGTAATCTGTATAATTTGTCACCAGACAACCTCTTTTTTTTTTCAAATTAGTATCAGTATCACAGAATTTGTACTTTGAAATCATACACAAATGTTGGTCCATCAGGATTACAGAAACGGCAGTTGTCATTAGATACTTTCTCACCAATTATGATCTCCTGATACGTATTTCTCAAAACCCTTGTGTTGGCACGTCAGGACACCTTCTGGCGCATGGAGATTTCATAGTACAATCTTCTCTAATCCAAATCAGAACCACAGAAATACAGGACGTTATAAATCTTGTGATCAGGTAATGTCTCATTTGATCTCCTGATATAAATTTTTCGTATCAGGTTTGTTGTTCCGGGATGTATTAGGAGAGCATAATATGAGAAGGGGTTCTCTGTCATTCCTGTGTTCCTGAACGGCTAGTTATACACATTCAATGCTCTTCTCGCGCATTCTGACTTTCAAAATAATTTTCAAATTATCGTATCAGGCTCACAGAATTGCGAAAAGTTATAAAGTCAGACCCTTTGATATATGCTTCCCTCATCAGAAACTAAAGGTATGTATCAAAAAATATCTCACGTATTATCTTTGGCCCTTTGAAAAATAACGTTCTGATCTCCTGGTACAAATTTGTCTTATCAAAGTAAGAAAGATGTGTCCAGCCAACTTCTCAAACATTCTAGTGTACTGATAAATATTGCAGGTGCAGAATTTTTGTACCAGGATCACAGAAAGGCAGGAAGCTGTAAAATTTTTATTCGGATAACTTCTCACGCATTTTGATCTGTTCATATAAACGTTCCTTATCAGAACTGCTGTACCGGCATCACAGACATCCAGGTTGATTCTAGTTTCCTGAGCCAAACCTCTCGTTGCGAAGTTGTTTTTGTTGTGACGAAAGGTGAGAAGCTGTAAGTAACGCTTATGATCCGACAACGTCTCATACATTCGTTGTCCTGATAAAGATTACTCTTTCCAAAGTTGAATGAATCTGTATCACTTGTGCTCACATATATGCTGTCCTCTGATAACTATTTCTCTTATTTACCAGGATCACAGAAATACAGGAAACTGTAAACTTGGGGTCAGAACTCTTTTGCATTTTGAGTTCCTGGTATAAATGCTTAAGTACCGCTTTGAGGAATAATGTAACGCCAGGGGGCCTGGGGGGTATGGAATACCCCCAGCATACGAAGAGTATGTTTATGTATAAGAATGATCTCATGGTGATGATTGTGGGAAAAAGGCCATCGAATTTTCCTTTTACTGGGGGGTATTATATAAGCATTGTAGCAGGATCACAGGAATGCAGGAAGATATAAAATTTGTTTTAGACGCCTTCCCAAGTATACAGATATTTCTTTTCATAATCTTTATCAGTATTTACATATTAGGACTACATACATTTCTATATATTTTTGTGCATTCTGATCTCCTGTTAGCATTATTTGAAATTGTTGTATCAGTGTAACAGAAACCCTAACGTTTACACTTAAAACACCCTTTAACGTATTCTACTCTGCTGCTAACAGACTAATCTCAAATTGTTGTATTAGGAACACAGAAACGGAAAACCTGTAGGCTGTATAGTCTAATGTGAATCGTGATTACAAAAACCCGGTAATCTGTATAATTTGTCACCAGACAACCTCTTTTTTTTTCAAATTAGTATCAGTATCACAGAATTTGTACTTTGAAATCATACACAAATGTTGGTCCATCAGGATTACAGAAACGGCAGTTGTCATTAGATACTTTCTCACCAATTATGATCTCCTGATACGTATTTCTCAAAACCCTTGTGTTGGCACGTCAGGACACCTTCTGGCGCATGGAGATTTCATAGTACAATCTTCTCTAATCCAAATCAGAACCACAGAAATACAGGACGTTATAAATCTTGTGATCAGGTAATGTCTCATTTGATCTCCTGATATAAATTTTTCGTATCAGGTTTGTTGTTCCGGGATGTATTAGAAGAGCATAATATGAGAAGGGGTTCTCTGTCATTCCTGTGTTCCTGATACGGCTAGTTATACACATGCAATGCTCTTCTCGCGCATTCTGCCTTTCAAAATAATTTTCAAATTATCGTATCAGGGTCACAAAATTGCGAAAAGTTATAAAGTCAGACCCTTTGATATATGCTTCCCTTATCAGAAACTAAAGGTATGTATCAAAAAATATCTCACGTATTATCTTTGGCCCTTTGAAAAATAACGTTCTGATCTCCTGGTACAAATTTGTCTTATCAAAGTACGAAAGATGTGTCCAGCCAACTTCTCAAACATTCTAGTGTACTGATAAATATTGCAGGTGCAGAATTTTTGTACCAGGATCACAGAAAGGCAGGAAGCTGTAAAATTTTTATTCGGATAACTTCTCGCGTATTTTGATCTGTTCATATAAACGTTCCTTATCAGAACTGCTGTACCGGGATCGCAGACATTCAGGTTGATTCTAGTTTCCTGAGCCAAACCTCTCGTTGCGAAGTTGTTTTTGTTGTGACGAAAGGTGAGAAGCTGTAACGCTTATGATCCGACAACGTCTCATACATTCTGTTGTCCTGATAAAGATTACTCTTTCCAAAGTTGAATGAATCTGTATCACTTGTGCGCACATATATGCCGTTCCTCTGATAACTATTTCCCGTATTTAGCAGGATCACAGAAATGCAGGAAACTGTAAATTTGTGGTCAGAACTCTTTTGCATTTTGAGTTCCTGGTATAAATGGTGAAGTACCGCTTTGAGGAATAATGTAACGCCAGGGGGCCTAGGGGGTATGGAATACCCCCAGCATACGAAGAGTATATTTATGTATAAGAATGATCTCATGGTGATGATTGTGGGAAAAAGGCCATCGAATTTTCCTTTTACTGGGGGGTATTATATAAACATTGTAGCAGGATCACAGGAATGCAGGAAGATATAAAATTTGCTTTAGACGCCTTCCCAAGTATACAAATATTTCTTTTCATAATCTTCATCAGTATTTACATATTAGGACTACATACATTTTTATATATTTTTGTGCTTTCTGATCTCCTGTTAGCATTATTTGAAATTGTTGTATCAGTGTAACAGAAACCCTAACGTTTACACTTAAAACACCCTTTAACGTATTCTACTCTGCTGCTAACAGACTAATCTCAAATTGTTGTATTAGGAACACAGAAACGGAAAACCTGTAGGCTGTATAGTCTAATGTGAATCGTGATTACAAAAACCCGGTAATCTGTATAATTTGTCACCAGACAACCTCTTTTTTTTTCAAATTAGTATCAGTATCACAGAATTTGTACTTTGAAATCATACACAAATGTTGGTCCATCAGGATTACAGAAACGGCAGTTGTCATTAGATACTTTCTCACCAATTATGATCTCCTGATACGTATTTCTCAAAACCCTTGTGTTGGCACGTCCGGACACCTTCTGGCGCATGGAGATTTCATAGTACAATCTTCTCTAATCCAAATCAGAACCACAGAAATACAGGACGTTATAAATCTTGTGATCAGGTAATGTCTCATTTGATCTCCTGATATAAATTTTTCGTATCAGGTTTGTTGTTCCGGGATGTATTAGGAGAGCATAATATGAGAAGGGGTTCTCTGTCATTCCTGTGTTCCTGATACGGCTAGTTATACACATGCAATGCTCTTCTCGCGCATTCTGCCTTTCAAAATAATTTTCAAATTATCGTATCAGGGTCACAAAATTGCGAAAAGTTATAAAGTCAGACCCTTTGATATATGTTTCCTTTATCAGAAACTAAAATTTATGTACAAAAAATATCTCAAATCAGAAAATAACGTATCAAGATTACAGAAACGCAGAAGGCTGTGAAACTTATGATCAAACAATGTCTCGTTCTGATCTCCTGGTTTAAATTTGTCTTATTAAAGTGAGAAAAACTGAGAAACATGTGACCATCCGACTTCTCAAACATTCTCGTGGTGTACTGATAAATATTGCGGGTTTAGAATTTTTATACCAGGGGCACGGAAGGCAGGAAGCTGTAAAATTTTTATTCGGATAACTTCACACGCATTCTGATCTATTCATATAAACGTTCCTTATCAGAACTGCTGTACCGGGATCGCAGACATTCAGGTTGATTCTAGTTTTCTGTGCCAAATCTCTCGTTGCGAAGTTGTTTTTGTGACGAAACGTGGAAACCTGTACAGAACCCCATACGTTCTGTTATCCTAATAAAGATTACTCTTTCCAGAGTTGATGAATCTCTAAAACTTGTGCTCACATATATGCCGTTCCTCTGATAACATTTCCCTTATTTACCAGGATCACAGAAATGCAGGAAACTGTAAATTTGTGGTCAGAAGTCTCATTTTGGGTTCCTGGTATAAATGCTTAAGTAAAGTAGAACATGCAAGGTATTATGCTACTTACTCTGAACTGAAACTGAAACGAAACTGAAACGAAACCGAAACGAAACCGAAACGAAACCGAAACGAAACCGAAACGAAACCGAAACGAAACCGAAACGAAACCGAAACGAAACCGAAACGAAACCGAAACGAAACCGAACGAAACCGAAACGAAACCGAAACGAAACCGAAACGAAACCGAAACGAAACCGAAACGAAACCGAAACGAAACCAAACGAAACCGAAACGAAAACCGAACGAAACGAAACCGAAACGAAAACGAAACCGAAACCGAAACGAAACCGAAACGAACCGAAACGAACCGAAACGAAACGAAACGAAACCGAAACGAAACCGAAACGAAACCGAAACGAAACCGAAACGAAACCGAAACGAAACCGAAACGAAACCGAAACGAAACCGAAACGAAACCGAAACGAAACTGAAACGAAACTGAAACGAAACTGAAACGCAACTGAAACGAAGGATTTCAATGCGCTAATGTTATTATTATTGTTTCAGCATCATTGAAAATAAACCAAGAAGACTGACGTAGAGCGTAATGCGGACGATACGGGCCTAAATCGCAATGGCACAGATAACGGACACAATGCAGGAATACTTTGCCTTACCCACCGCAATCTACACCCCCAACGCTTCCTACGGCGACGAGAACGCTACGAGCGCGCTCGACGCCCGCTCGACCGACCAAAACTTCTCCTGCGACGCGATAAGGGATTTCGTCAACGTCACCTGCGAGCTACCGATAAACTACGCGGTGCCGATGTACGGTTACGTTATGCCCTTTCTGTTGTTCGTAACGATCATAGCGAACACGCTTATCGTCGTCGTGCTGAGCAAGAGGCACATGCGGACGCCGACGAACGTCGTCCTGATGGCGATGGCACTCTGTGATATGTTTACGTTGCTGTTCCCCGCGCCGTGGCTGATTTACATGTACACGTTCGGCAACCACTACAAACCGCTTTGGCCCATCAGCGTTTGCTACGCTTGGACGGTGATGCACGAGGTGAGTTCGTTCGTGAAGTGTCGGGAGCGTACTAGCGTTTGTTCGCAGGTCATTCCGAACATGTTCCATACGGCGAGCATTTGGCTGACGCTGGCGTTGGCGGTTCAGCGATACATCTACGTCTGTCACGCGCCGTTGGCGCGAAAATTCTGCACGATGCCCAACGTTTATAAGTGCTTAGTTTACATACTCGTCTCGGCCGCACTGCACCAGGCGACGAGGCTGTTCGATCAGGAGTACTCAGAGGTGAGAAATAAAATTTACCTACGTAAGCAGTGGGCTCATCCCCAGACCCTACATTCTCCTCCAAAACCCGTCAGCTTTACCGCTCTTACTACAGTTTTCGGCAGCTCAGCGCCGGGTGGTGTGGAGGCTATAGAATAAGTAGGTATATCCTCCACCTTATATGAAAATAATTGAAAGGAACATTGCATTTTACCTAGAGTGGAATTTCCTGGGGGGTATTCTATTCCCCCGGGCCACCGGTGTTAGATCCTTCCCAAAACGCTCTGTCTCACCACTCTGAATACAGTCTTCGACAAGGCACCAGGGGGTCTATTGGGAATGGAATACCCCCCCCGATCCCAACATATACACAGATAATACGGTAGTTGAAAGATACATTGAATATATCCTGGAATGAATTTTCCAGGGGGTATTGACCTCCCCCGTGGTACACTTTTCCTCAAAACCGCCTGCCTCGCCGCTCTCATTACAGTTTTCGGTAAGACCACAGAACATGGCAAAACGAGTGTTTGGGAATACCCCCCCCCCCTCATTGTACACGAAAATCATTCGAGAATTAAAAGAAACATTGGAATTTTCTTACATCTCCCCAGACCCACCGGTGTGTCACTCATCCCCAAAACCGTCTGTCTCACCGCTGTCATTATAGTTTTCGGCAAGACGCTATCGAACTTAAAACCGGGTCGGAGGGGGGGGGGGCTAGGGGGTATGGAACACCCTCAGTATATCCGAAGAACATACGGTACCTAATTGAAAATTAAATCCTGGAATGGGTTTTCCTCGGTGGTATTCCAAATCTGCAGAACCCCCGGTCTTACCTTCTCTCCAAAAGCCCATTTTCAGCAAGACGCCATCAAACTCAGTACGGAGATCTGGGGGTTATTGAAATAACCCCCGATGTATAGGATCATAATCTGCTTAAAAGGGACATTTAAGCTTGCGTCCTAGTTTCGACATGACGCCATCGAACTTAACACCAGGGTAGGGGGGGGGGTATGCAATATCCCCCCAGTATATTCGAAGATCATAGGATAATTGGAAAAAAACATAGAATCGTTCCTGGAATGGATTTTCGTGGGAGGTATTATCCCCAGACCCCCCGGTGTTACATTTCCCCCAAAACTGTCAGCCTTACCGCCCTCGCTACAGTTTCCGGCAACTCAGCACCGGGGGGGTTTGGGGGTCTGGAATAAGTATAAGTATACATTGCATTTTACCTGGAGTGGAATTTACTGGGGGGTATTCCATACCCACGGGCAACCAGTGATAGATCCTTCCCACAACCCTCTATCTCACCACTCTGATTACAGTTTTTGGCAAGACACCATCAAACAACACCGGGGGTATCTAGGGGGTATAAAATACCTACCAGGAAAGTCCATTCCAGGAAAAACTTCATGTTCCTTTCAATTAGCGTGTGATCTTCATATATACTGGGGGTATTCTTTATCGAATGCCGGTTTGTAATACCGGTTATTTTGCGGGGAGGTATTCCATACCCCCCAGGCCCCCCGGTGTTACACTCTTCCCCAAAGCCGCCTGTCTCACCGCTGTCATTATAGTTTTCGGCAAGACGTAAATGAAAAAAACATACAATGGTTCCTGGAATCGATATAAAATACCCTCCGGTATATACGACTGTACGCTTATTGCACGGGACATTTAAGCTTTCCTGGAATAGAATTTCCTGGGGTTATTCCATCCCTCCGATATCCTACAGTGTTACATTCTCCCCCAAAGCGAACTGTCTCACCGCTCTTATTATAGTTTTCGACATGACGCCATGGAACTTAACACCAAGGGGGGGGGGGATCTAGGAGGCATGGAATGTCTCCCCAGTATATACGAAGATCACACGATAATTGAAAGGAACATGAAGTGTTTCCTGGAATGGATTTTCCTGGGGAGTATTCTTTATGGAATACCGGCATATAATACCGGCTGTTTTGCTGGGAGTATTCAGACCCCCCGGTGTTACACTATCACTAAAACCGCCTGTCTCACCGCTGTCATTATAGTTTTCGGCAAGACGTAATTTTAAAAAAATTAATTTTTCCTGGAATGGGTTTTCCTCGGTGGTATTCCATATCCAGATCCCCGGTGTTACCTTCTCTCCAAAGACTCGCCTCTCATTGCAGTTTTTAGCAAGACGCCATCATACTCAGTACTGTGGGGGGGGGGGCTGATTGTTATAAATTACCCCCCCTCCCCCCCGCGAAGATTATACGCTAATCGATAGGAACGTCACACGATGGCCTATTACTCACCGCTCTCATTCGCCACGACGCCATTGGGTATATACAAAGGGGAGGCTCTGTCTCACCACTCTGATTACGGTTTTCGGCAAGACGCCATCAAACTTAACACCCTCACCCTCCACTACTCATACCGGTACCAGACCCCCCGGTGCTAAAAACCGCTGGTTTTCGGCAAGACATCTTTCCTGGAAGGGGTGGACATTGCTGAACTCAGTACCGGGCTAAGATGGTGACGTCTACGGAATACCCTCTGCCTCACCGCTCTTAAGCCGCCATAGACCTTAACCCGCGACGGGGGGAGGGGGGCTATACAATGTCCTCCAGTAGCTCGAAGTTCATACGCTAATCGATAGAGACACATTACATTTTTCCTAGAATACATTTTTCTGGGAAGTGTTCCACGCTCCCCAGACCGCGCGGAAGGGGGGGGGGGGTATGTGGAGGTAAGTATTTCCTACCCCCCAAACCCCTCGGTTGCTACCCAAAACCGTCTTCCTTGCCGCTCTCATTGCAGTTTTCGGCAAAACGCTATCGAAAGTACAACCGGACTTTGTGGGAGCATGGTGTAACCCCCCCCCACCCTCCCCAGTGTACACAACAAGCTTTCGAGAATGAAAAAAACATTGGATCTTTCCTAACTACCCACAGTTGAGTTTTTCCTAGAATGAATTTTCCTCTGAAGTGTTCCACCCCCCCACCCCCACCCGCCGGCACTCCGGTGTTACCACTTCCGCATAACCGTCAGTCTCACGGCTGTCTTTATAGCAAGATTTGATCGAACGTAAGGTTAGGGAGGTATGGAAAAGAATGGATACCCCCCAATGTATACGAATATCGTACGTTAATTGAGAAGAACATTTAACCTTTCCTTGGGGGGGGGGGCATTGTTCAAGACGAATAATTTTAGTTCGGACTTCCCTCTAAAGATGTCAGCCCTGATTGCACAATACTAAGATACTGACATGCGAGAATACTCGAGCATGTGCAAACACGAAACCGCAGGGGGAGCAAATTAGCCAGAGAGAAGTCGAATACGTTTCTTATTGCAAATAGTTGGCTTTGTTTCGTTCGGAGAACAAATAAGGGCGGCTAATCGAAAATCTCAAGACGAACGGCGACCGCCTGATAAACTCAAATCCGGTTAACACGGCCGGAGACTTTCCCATTATTTTTCATCTTCCCCCCCCAACGCCTTTGATATCGTAATAACTTTTAAGCGACGTCCTTTTTAATGTCATCCCCCGATTACCAACTTTAATCGAAATTTATGATTAGGATGTTCGCGCGAAGAAAGAGAAACACATTACGCTCCTTTTACCTTTTCCGTTCCGTTGGCCGTAAAAAAAGTTTGCTTTGAGAGTTTTCTGGCTCGACGTCGCGTTATTCAAAGTGCGGGGTAATTACGAGGCCTTTGCCGATTATGTGGTAGGCGACGCGTAATTAACGCGATGAGTCCGGATTTGATGGGAGACGTCATAAGATTCCTCACCTCAAGATGTAGATTGGTTGCCTTTTAATTACGACATTGAAAGATCTACAAAACGTCTTCTTCAAAGCTGGTCAGTTTCGTTCACCCCAAAGGCAACGTTCAAAAGAACTCATTCTTGGTGAAACCCTTATGCAAAGCGTTGAACAAAATTTCAACTAATCTTCGCGGTAAATATCATTAATTAATTATTAATCCATTGGTCGTATAATTCCAAACTTATTCAACGGGGTAAGCTTGAATGCCGGTTAATCCAGCTCAGCTTTCATCCCTTGAGTAATTACGCACTTAGTGCGATTCGATTTAGATTTAACCGCGCTACTTAAAAGTTTAATTAAGTTTTGGTAATGCCTCGCGCTTTCCTTTGATTTTTACGCCACGTTTTTGTTTTGTTTAAGGTGGAGATCTACTGGAACGGAAGCTACGAGTACGTGTGCAGCACGAGGACGGCGGCGTGGGTGATGAACTACGTTACCGAGGACGTCTACTATTTATCCTACTTCCTTTTTCGGATCATTTTTGTCCACCTAGTGCCCTGCGTTGCGCTGGTGGTATTAAACTTCCTTCTGTTCTGCGCGCTGAGGCAGGCCCAGCAGCGGCGCGACCTGCTCCTCTCGAAAAAGAACCAAAAAAGTGAATGCAAAAAGCTGAGAGACTCGAACTGTACGACCCTCATGCTTATCGTTGTGGTCACCGTTTTCCTGTGCGTCGAGATACCGCTGGCGGTCGTGACGATCCTCCACGTCCTTTCCTCGATCGTGATAAAGGAGTTTCTCGACTACTACGTCGCGAACGTCTTGGTGCTGTTTACGAATTTTTTCATCATACTCAGCTACCCGATCAATTTCGCTATTTACTGCGGAATGTCGCGTCAATTTAGGGAGACGTTCAAGGAACTCTTTATACGCGGGTCGATTGGTAGCAATAGGAATGGAGGATCGTCGCGTTACTCGCTCGTTAATGGACCGAGGACGTGCACGAACGAGACTGTTTTGTAAGTTGCACGGTTATTGACACAAATGACAGTTGAGAACTTTGCGCAATTTACCCGTAAGACTAGCCCATCGGTAAACAGGTGAAATTACCTCTAGATACAGAGGAAACAACCTCCTCCCCCTCCCTCACTACGAGTTACCTAAACCTAGATTAATTTTCTCATTAAAAAAGAGGCGAATGCAGAAATTTACCCATGATCGAAGGCGATTCGTACTGCTCTAACCCCCAATGAATGTGATGTATACGAAAAAGGGTGTCTAACTTCATATGTGTCAATAATATTCCTCTAATCTAACATAGTGCAGTGTCTTGTAAATATAGAACTAACAAATTGTATGTTTTATATCATAAGTAAGATATGTGCTTTTAAGGAGGGGGCAAAGCATTTGTTATATACATGTTGGGGTGTACATAACTGTTTTAACTGTAAAGGATAAAAATGAGCAATCGTCGAACGTTTCTTGAAGGATCGAGCCCTACTTCGGAAACGTTCGGTGATGTCGTATATTTTTCTGGATGCATTTTCGTGTTATATGTTTCCCGCAATTGAATTTTTCTCCTAATAATTGTCGCGGGCGTAGAAGAAACCGTTGTAGCTTGACTCACACGCTCTGAGATGTGCTCTTGGTTTATTTTGAAATAATAAAGGAGAAATTTGGTTGGATTTCATACTTGCATAACCTTTGGAATACTACCGAGTGCGACAAGATCATAGCCGATTCGTCACAATTGGTGCAATTCTTCTTACTGTTTGATATTTTTCAGTTGATTTAGACGGTAATCATGACCACAAGCTTACTTGCATTTAGAGGAACTCGTCAGAGGTGCTGTAATTTACCTCTATATAGGCGATGAACCGGTAGAACAAGATCATGATCACCATTCAACGTATACAGAGGACTCGCTCATCAATGCTGTAACTTTGCGATTGCGACCGTGAACCTTGCACTTACTGGTTAGTATATACCACTTTGAGCACAACTTCTAGACACCTTAAGACACAATTTTAGATATGACGCCATCAAGTCTCCCCGTGTGGGCTCGTGTAATGCGGTGTTGCCTCTATCCACTGGGCGAGATTTTTGAAAAACCACTGTGAACAGTCTACAAATTATTATCGCCCGGTTCAAAACACTTAAAGGGTAAGAAGGTGCACCATGGGTCCTATCCAGGATCCAGGAAAAGGTGTTTACCATGAATACATTGGCGTTACAGCAGCAGGAGATGGATCAACAGATGAAGAAACTGGTGACAAATATGAAACAAGTATAAATTGTGCAAGATGAAGCGCATATTTTTAAACCGAAATCGCTTTTGTTTTGACATCACCAAGGAATATATTTTTGCAGATGTCTCAATCGCTCTTTGTGAGTACCCTCTTCCGACAATTCGTTCTTGTGGTATAAGGGACTATACCCGATCACGATAAGAGGTCGAGGAGGAGGGCTATGGTTGGTAGAAATTAACTCCTTTCGTCGTTGAAACCTTTCATTAAAGTACCATGAAGGATAAAACTAATTCCCCCCCCCCCCCCCCTCACCCTCCAGCCCATAAGAGAACAGAAAGAAGGGCAGTAGTTGGTCGAAAACGGTTCCTTTCGTTGAGACGTTTAATTAGAATACATTGAGAGATAAAATTAATTTTTAACCCCCCCCCCTCCCCCACGCTCACTGATATCGAAAAAGACTCACGCGGGAAAATTATAGTTTGTACAAACCAATTTATTTCGATGAGACCTTTCATTAGAATACCATGAAGGGTAGAATATGTGTTAACCCCCCCACCCCCACCCATTTTCTAAAGTTTAACTTAGCACAACTAAAGGTATGGTATGCGTATGCAAAATCTGAGACCAATTGGTTGTCGTATGTAAAAGTTATGCATGTTTTACTTTCAAAAACAGCGTCTCAGGAAATAATTCGTGTGGGAGCCCTCCTTTTAGACATCGAAATTTGATGGCCGTCTGGCACACCTTCAAGGTATAGGCTACCTACTGCAAACAATTCCAGGACTCTAGCACCATTCCCCTATAAGTAGTTCGAAACGGCAGAAGTGGGTCCGGACCGACGGACGGACAAACCGCAAACAATAGCACATTTTCTTTAATTCTTAAAAAATGCGCTAAAAAAGACCCAACGAACAGGAAGACCACATCAAAACTGGAGCAGCTGGACGTATATACCAAGAAAGTCCAGCAGACGAACCAGAAAATAAGCGAGTCGGATATTCAATACCACCAGGATAACTACATTGAGACAAGCCTACCAAGCGTACAACCAGGCTGTCGAGCCCCTTGACCGCTGGAAAAGCGATCTAGACGTGGAGAATGTCGATGAAAAAGGGACCGAACCGCTTATACGAATTAAGAAACAAGAAGTGCGTGGGACGATGTAAGTTAAGAGGAAATAGAGTCCAGGCGTATGAGTATTTCACGGACAACAAATACGAGGAGATCCAGGAACGCTATGAGAGGATACTAATCGATATGGAAGTAGGTAGTGGAAGCACGCGCCAGCCCGAAAATGGTAAAATTACCAACAATTCCCATTTTTAGAACGGGGTTCCACGATTTGTTTCTCAAATTGGTCCACTCGAACAGCACGCCGTCGAATACGGAAAGGAAGTACTACCTGAAGAGCAAGGAGGAAGGGGAGGAGGCCGTGTTAATCCAACATCTCCGATCAAAATTACGAGACAGCACGGGATGCAGTAAACGGCGATACAACAACGTGAGGCTCATCATATCGAAACTTTGAGACAAGATTCCCTCGAATCGCAAAAGAAAATGCGGCTCCACGACACCACCCACGAGTGTCTGAAAGATTCCCGAGGTTAAGGACGTGAGTGTAATTATTGGAGGCAGTAGGAATGGACAAGAGGGAGTACCAAATGCATGGGGCATTGACTAGTTTACTCTTGTGACTGTTGCTGTCCTTGGGGGTTGGTGTAGTAACGAGTGGTGAGTGTACTTACAGTTTTTAGTTGAGTAACATTTTGTATTGCATTTAAAGCATAACTGTTGTTCTTTTACATCCTTGATTCTTTCGACAGCCAATAGTTTGTCCAATTTTGGGCACACGTCGATTTGCTGTTGTTCCTTACAGTAGGTATGTGCAATTTGGTGTCTTATTTCCGACCCAGTTACCCTTGTATGACGATGGTGGTGGGTGGTCTCCTTAAAGCCTCCAGAGATTGAAATGTTGACTTCGTGAATTCCATCGTCTCCTCTAGTGCCTGAGTCTTTGTTGAACTTCTGCTCGAATATCCCATTAGTTTCGGCGTCCCTTTTCCTGGAAATAATTTCTGTGAAGACTATGTCTGAAATAAGTCATGAAATGCCACCCAGTTTTCATACCCGGTGTTGAAGAGAAGGCATCTTGATTATCGACAGTTTTTTTTTACTGTTCGAATTTTGCATCTCCATATTACAGTGACTTTATAGAGACAGTGGCGACAATAGAGTGTCTAATTTTTGATTGGTTGTTGAGATCGGCCGCCATTTTGCGTCAAATTTCACGTGTTTCCGGTAATAGATATGCTCACGCGCATTCCCGCGCTTCTATAAACGTCACTGGTTGACACATTTGAAGTACAGGTGCCATGATATTCCTACAAAAAATAGTATCATGACAGATGACAGCCTAACATTAGCCACTTCTGCAGTCAAATGCCAGAGGCAGACGATGAAAAATTTGTGTTTCAATGGCCGTGAATTCAGTACCTAGTCGTATTTCCGCGTGCAATTAGCATTGGAGGACAAAACAAATAGCTGAAAACGAATGTGGCGGAACCTAATATGTGTGACTATGTGACAGCAATTGAGGATATTGTTGTGAAACGCGATACCATATTCGACTCGCAGTGCAATAACCCATCGAGCAATTTCTATGAGTCGGATTCAGCGAAGAGATTATGTTGACGAGGCAGAGTAAGACGTTCAATTGAAAGGATGGTTTTCAGAAAGTAGTTGATGGAATCTGGACCATCCACTCAGGCGGAGACTAAACTAGCGACAACCATATTCATATTTACAGTTTTTATATCGCTAATTGTACTAATAAAACGTTTACAAAATAGTCGTTTGCAATATGTGTAAAGCAACCACCGCGCGCAGCGCCGGTAATTTGACTGCTCCCTAATATGATATTGCGGTGTACGCCACACATGCCTACGTGTATTGTGTGTTGCCAATTTTTTGACGCAAAATGGCGGCCGAACTCCTATTGTCGCCACTGTCTCTATAAAGTCACTGTACTCCATATTGGCGATTTGCTCCTGTTCTCTATTTGTTTGTGAATTTAGGTGCAATAGATCGTCTCGCTATTTTTTCTTGCATGGGATTACATTCGCCTAGCGCAGACGATGAAGCGGACAAACAAGATTCCATTAAACGTTTACAGTGGAATCGATTATCATTACTGTAAGGTCGATTTGCATTTTACGGAACGCCAACGTCACGTCACGGACCGGCAACGTCACGTAAATCTTGTTCACACTTTACGTTAATAGGTTCTTAGGATGGTTGCGATTGGATTTTTTATTCTGGACCATCTGTTCTTATCATGCTCAGATTAAATAGAAGAAAATTAGCGTCAGCGTCACGAGAATGAAATGTTTGAAACTTATGTCGACGGTTCTTGACGTTGACGGTGCGTTCCGTTACGTCATCATTAAAATTCTACAATATTTTCATGTGACGTTCCCGGTCCGTGACGTGACGTTGACGTTCCGTAAATGGCGAATCGACCTTAATGCTACGTTGCTAACCATTTGTGCGCGTCACCTGCTCCTTGATTAATTAAGATGTTTATTAAATAAAAATGGGATTGTTAAAACTTCGATCTTGTATTTTCTGATCGCTGCGGTAGTTATCGATCGCAGTACTAATGTCATGTCCATTACGTTCATGACAAAAAAGCACTTTACTGTGCAAACAGAATGTAATGAAAGGTAGTGATTATGTGGTAAAGTGCTGCAAGAAAACACATTAGCGTACATGTTTACTCACTCAACAAATACGTTTGTATGTTCAATCGTCACTCAGCAGCTAACGATTCAGTTTGAGTTTTGCAATAGAAGTAAGACGACAATGAAAGTTACATCGTGTGTCATTTTTGTATCATTTTTAAGTGCCACGAGTGGTATTTCACTGATACACAATCAGCGATCCTGGAAGGTATGTACAGAAAAAGTGATCCGAACGATTTTTGGAAACGAAACTCTCCACTATGCCTTCAAGGAAAGTAGTGACCTCTTACCGTTCAATATAAGAAACCAAAGGATTCTTATTAACATCGATTATCCCATACCTCGCAGGATAGGAAAGGTTTCCAACAATTTCATATTCGAAGTTAGAGATTTGGATGTTTTAAGAAAGTGTATTGTTTCATTGGAATCCATAGGTACATGGAGTGTGCAACCCGTTAATGCAAGATTACTTATTATAACCGATCACTTACGGCACGTGGAAGCGGTTTTCGATATATTATGGAATTATGGCATTATATATCTGGCAATTTTGATGATCAACAAGGACGAAGATGCAAGATCGTTCTTATTTACAGCAAATCCACATGATGTTCAGAACCATCACGGCGCATTCCCGAACACAATGCATGTGCAAAGTTGTGATCAAGCGATCGCTGACACGATTCCGCTTCCTATAAGAGATTATCACGGATGTCCCACACGATTCAGTACTACTTCCTCTTTGCACTTAATGTATAAATTTAATCGCAGAGATTTTACCATTAACATGGCGGTTGAAATATTGAATATCTCTTTGAAACAACCTCGTATGTATGGTATTATTGTACGTGATGGACTACCAATTTCCAATATAAACGGAGGTTCTCGTGTGAGTCACGTGTACATACGGGACGTCATAGTGTGGGTAGTTCCTCCAACAAATGCCATTTCGTCATTGGAAATTTTAGCAGTTAATTTTGAAAAGGAGGTTTGGATATTAGTTTCGGTTGGTTTTGCATTATTTACCTTTGCGTGGTACGTTTTGGAAAAATTCAAAAGAAGCTTCGGTGAAATTGTTCTGAAGACTTTTGGAATCACGCTATCTGGAAGCACTAATCGCATTACCAATTCTTCAAGACTTAGATTTCTAATTGTGTGCTACATTATATACAGCGTGCACATACAAACAGCGTACGTATCAAACTTAATGCGCCTGATAACTACACCTCCGAGAAGCCAACCGATAAGCAGTATAAAGGAGCTGCTAGAAGCTGAGATTCCAATTTGTTGGGAATCTACTGCCGTAACGGTGAGAACGGTACACAAATTGCTAAGTCATGGGAAGATATTCAGCAAGATGAAGTTAAGAACATGTCCCATACGAGATGAAGATCCCCGTGTGCTGTTGGAGAGTTGGTCTGCACATCCAAATTTCTCTATCGTTATTCCATTGAAAACACTACATGCCCATGCACTGAGTTTACGACTGCCTAATTACTTCATTGATAATCACTTTGTACCTCCCTTGATGCAGACCTTTATAAGTAAGAGAAGTAGTTTCATTATCGACAGTTTAAACATAGTCATCGACAGATTGACCGAAAGCGGTTTGTACGATAAACTAGATAAAGATCGAGAATCTTACGTCGACTCGAAAAGAAGGGAATTGCCGCAAGAAGAAGAAGTGGTGGCGCTATCTTTACAGCACTTGAATGGAATTTTTATTGTATACTCTTTCGGTCTGGTTTTATCTGTAGTGGCGTATATTGGAGAACTGATTGCACATCGATTTTAAATGCAGCTCGATTTTCAAATTGCACTTCGCTCACTGAAAATGTTTGAAAATGTTATTGCCAAGAAGAGGTATGCAATTTATAATAAAAATTCTTTTCCGGCACCAAGACACGCTTTACTTTAGCTTAAATTTTGACCTATCTTGTACTTATCAGAAAAATAAAACTTGCTAAAAGGTTGTAGAAAATCACTTAATAAGGACACCAAACCTTCACCATATACTTTCTGTTGGCATATGCCTTGCGTAGCCGCGTCTCCCAGAATTTAGTCAACTGTCGTGGCGATGTGTCCCTGGTAGGAACTAACAAGGGTGCATCTCCACCGCTTTTATTGCGATTGCGTTGGGCCGCGACATATGTTAGCGCAATTTGATTAAAAATCAAGTTATATTACAATATAGTAACAAAAAAGTTGTTTTGAGTTGTTGTCAAAATAAACAGAATTGAAAACGTAATTTTTGATTTTTCTCATTCTTAATTGCAAGAAGAAACATTTGGCGCCCGAGCAAAAAGTAACCTCGTGCTTTACGAAGAATCAATTCTACCGAAGCAATAAACAACGTGAATCGCCAATTCGTCGATTCGTACCAACAATATTGTTACGTTCACTTTGGGCCAACGTGACAAAATTACCTATAAGCACACGGTAAGCTCAGGCAAAGTAGGGGTGGGTCGGGGTGAAAATGGGGTTCTTCTATACACACACAAATAAACCAAAAAGGGAAGGAAACAGTAAAAGTAATCCGGATAGGCGCCACTTAGTCTTTGATAAATTTAGAGAGAGAGGAGTACTAAAGGGATGAACAAGGCAGACCAAGAGATCCTTGTTCTCGTCTTACTAAACTCAAAGGAATACACAATTATGGAGAAAACAAACAGTATTTGATGTATAAATGCGGGTAGTTTAATAACAAAGATCTCAAAATATCACAAATCTGACACTGTAATATATCGATCTAGTATATCAAACTGGCAATTTAAAATAATCTCTAATAAAACAAATGAGAAGCCAACACGTAGCCTGGGAAAATATTTATCCAAAAGGGCTTCCGCAGAAACAACGGAGCTATAATCATTAAGTGACTTTCAAACAAAGTAATAATCACAACTCGTTAGTATCAACAACCAAAATGTAATCAAACGTTAAAAGGGAAAAACTACGAAAATTTACCTTGAACTCCGGTCGCAACCTTCCGAGCTCAGAGGACGCGAAACTGCAAATCTGAAACAGTCAGACACAAAAACAAAAAAATAAGAAGGGTAATGATTCGCGTTGCACAATATATCGCATAAGCAATGGTTAACGTAAGACACGAATGGTTATTCTTGTACGTAGAATTGCAATCAATACTAAAAAGAATCAAAAATTCAAATGACTTTACAACAAAACAAAATTTGGTTCGACTAAGGGTTGGTTTTCACAATCGGTATGAGATATCAAAAAGTGACATAAAGTTTTAAGAGAAAAATACTATAAAATGTACAAATAAAATAATTGAATCTATCTTCAATGACAAAGCAATCTTATCAATTCAAAAGAAAACAAACTTACACGAGCAAGTTCTTCAAAGTAAAATACATAACGTTAATTAAAAATTTACACAGTACCAATTCCACACGTCTCGTTAATTAAGTACTTGCGTTTCGGAAAAATGGATCGTAGGTCAACGAACTACGTAAAATTGGGTCATCAGTTCAAACATCGGTTTCACATGAAATGGCGGTAATTCTTCAGTCAATTCTTCAGTCGGTAAGGTAGAAATATGTAGAGCGTTTTTGATTGTAATGGCGTCAAAACTTCAATGGAATTCTATGGCACCATATGGAAAATCGGGTATTCGCGTTTCCACGTCAAAATATCAATATACAGTCAGGAAGCAATTGATAAAACCAAAATAATAAGTAAGAAAACTTAGGGAGTACGAAAGTAGCCTAAAATAGATTATTTAAAATAAAAAGATAATGCGTCATAGATAACATACCGCAAAACGGCCTTAAACTTGTAAGATAAATCCGCAGCAATGGGTCATCAGCGAAATTGGAAGTAAGATGATAAGAGAAAACTTCACTAATCTTAATACAACACCACTAATTAATCCCAAAAAAAAGTAGACGAATATGTCAAGTAAGTATAATGGCGTGTAGCTCAAATACAAGTCAAGATCGAATCGAGTTCTTCAACATGGACTGCGCGCGTTGACAGTGAGTGGGAGAAGAATAACCGCGCCAATCAACAGAACACTAGACAAAAGGTTTTTTTAAAAGAAAACTATATCGCAAATAAAGGATCGGCTTATAATGTGAACACCTAGATGGCGTAAGGATTGCTATATAAAGGTAAGAGTTCGCATAATGTTATTCGAGAAGGATTCCACATAGTAATTCAAATATAAGCCAAAGCAAAGATTACACGGTAAAGAAAATAACGTCACAATATTCAATCGGAAGCTACAAGAATCCAATATCTGTCCATTTGAGGATCATCTAACAGTGTCAACGACCAAATATCCTTTCCACAAATTCTCAATTTCTTTTGCGAGGTAAGAGTGATCATTCTAATTTGCTTTGAAATAATTCATAACGCACTGAATTTTATTTTGACCAGTAATGTCAAATAAAAATAAAGCATATGTAAAATCCCTTTTAGTAAAACGAGAATTTCTTTATAACAAGCTTAATGCCTTCTCATCATACATTAATGATTTAAAAAACGATTTCAATAGATCTGAGCTTAAATTACGTATCAATAAAATTGAAAATATACTTGAGGAATTTACTCATATTCATCTTCAGCTAGAAGAAATAGGGTCGACTTCTACAAATGTAGAAGAGCTTAATGAATTTGAAACTATTTTATTCATCAGTTTCTAAAGCAAAAGCTATTTCTTCCATCGAAAATGTCTTGCCGTCAACCTCTGTAAATATGCCAATGTCACTGAATGTTAAATTACCAGAATTAACGCTACCAAAGTTTAATGGTGACACATGAATATGTGGTTGGAGTTTCGTGACAGCTTTTCAGCAATTATAGATAGTAATTCAAATCTTTCTAAGGTGCAGAAATTTCAATATTTAAAATCAACATTATCCGATGAAGCCTTAAGAATCATTCAGAGTATCACGCTTTCCGATGATAACTATACTGTGGCATGGGAACTTCTCCTAAAACGATTTAATAAAGAAGAAGTACTTATTGATAATCACATAAAATCATTATTGAAGTTATCATACTGCAAAACAGAATCATCCGAAGCGATCAGAAAATTAGTAGATTAGTAGAAATAAAAACGTTCGTTGTTTGCAACTTCTAAAGGTACCGGTTGAGCACTGGGATTTACTGTTGATTTCTGTTATCTCCGAAAAATTGGACGAATGTACCTTTAAAGAATGGGAGAAATATAAAGCAAATAATAACAACAGGATCAGTTTAAAGGTAATGTTAATATTTTTAGAAAGAAAGGCTGACGTTTGTATGAAAATCAATAAATGTCAAAGGTCATACAATAATAGTAAACCTAAAATGAATTTAAACGTCACATCAAATAAGGTTGTGTCAAATCATTCAAAAACGTCATCTTGTCCGATTTGTAATGCTAATCACTTAATATTTGCATGTGCGCAGTTCGAAAATTTGTCCCCTCATGCAAATCGGATACTTGTAAAAAGTGCCATAAACGGCATCATACACTGTTACATTTCGAAGAAGTGACTCCAGTAAATGTGGGACAAATTTCAGAATTTCCGAAAAATGATGAAGTATCTGATGTTGAAGAAATAAGTTTGACTATTAGCAGTAATTGCAATCATTCTAATATTTTACTTTCAACTGTGGTAGTACATGTGATGAGTGCACAACGTAATATCTTTGCTTGTAGAGCTTTGTTGGACTCAGGATCGCAGTCATGCTTTATTACTGAAAGTATGTTTAATAAATTATGTCTAACAAAAATTCCAACAAAAATATGTGATATAGGAATTAATAATTCAGTGAGCAATATACAAAATAAATGCGAACTAATAATAAAATCGCGAATTAATTCGTTCATTACAACAATTTCTTGTTTAATTACGCCTAAGATTACAGGACGATTACCTGATAGATTAATAAACAATTCTTTAAAAATACCTAATCATGTAAAACTAGCGGATCCAAATTATTACGAACCGCAAGATGTAGATTTATTAATCGGCGCATCTCTCTTTTGGCATTTATTGCGCGAAGGTCAAATTTCTCTAGGTTTTAATAAACCTATACTGCAGAATACTTCTTTAGGATGGATTATTTCAGGATCAATAAATTCAAAAGAAAATGATCATACCATTGCGTGTAATGTAGTGAAAGTTTCAGATAACTTTATATTACAAGAACAACTTGCAAAATTTTGGGAGTTGGAATCGGTGCCTAATATTTGTGTATGGTCAAAAGAAGAAACATTGTGCGAAGATCATTTTAAATCTACGTACAAACGTGATTCTTCAGGACAATTTATTGTACGAATTCCCTTTAAGGATTGTACAACACAACATTTAGGAAACTCTGAAAATTATGCATTAAAAATGTTTCAATGTTTAGAAAGAAGGTTCAATAGACATCTTAATCTAAAAAAGAAGTATAATGAATTTATGCAAGAATATATTCAATTAGGTCATATGACATTACTTACGTCGGAACCTTTTACTCCAAATTATTATTTGCCACATCATGGAATAATTCGTGAATCAAGTTTAACAACAAAACTGCGTGTCGTTTTTAACGCATCTGCACAAACTTCATCTGGTAAGTCACTAAACGATTTACAAATGGTTGGACCAACTATTCAATCAGATCTATTTTCAATTTTGATTCGTTTTCGCCAAAATTTATTCGTTGTAAGTGCAGATATTGAAAAAATGTACAGGCAGATACTTGTTGATGATAAAGATAGGCAATTTCAATTAGTTTTCTGGAGAGAAGATCCAAAAGATAATATTAAAACTTATAAACTAAATACAATTACTTATGGAACATCAAGCGCACCTTTTTTAGCAATACGGTGTTTACATCAACTTGGATTAGAGTCACAAG